CTGCAGGCTGAACATGAGCCAGCCGTGTGATGCGGTGGTCAAGAGGGCGAACGCCACCCTTGGTTGCATAGCCAGAAGTGTGGCTTCTAGATCAAGAGAAGTGTTACTACCACTCTATACGACTCTGGTGCGCCCGCAACTGGAGTATTGTGCTCAGTTTTGGGCCCCTCATTATAGGAAGGATATAGCCAGGTTAGAGTCAGTGCAGCGTAGGGCCACAAGGTTGTTGGCGAGTTTGCCGGGGAAGCCGTATGTGGCGAGACTGAGGGAACTATGTCTTTTCAGCCTGGAGAAGAGGAGACTTAGAGGGGATCTGTTGGCGACATACAGGCAACAGGTGAGGTGAGGGGGTGTCCCACGGAGGTGGGGAGAGACCTGTTCTCCCCTGCAGTGGAGGGCAGGACACGATCCAACGGAGCCAAGCTCAGGGAGCCAATTTCCATTAGATGCCAGGAAGCACTTCCTGACAGTCAGGACCCCGAGGGTGTGGAATGGGCTTCCAGGGGAGGTGGTTGAGGCTCCACCAGTGAGGGTGTTAAAGGATAGGCTAGACATGTATATGGTAGGCATGTCGTGAGCGGAGTCGGCAGGAGCTGGGGGTCAGACTAGATGGCCCGCATGGCCCCTTCTGACTCGTGCTGTTTCTATGTTTACCGAAAGGAGGCCAGACTGGGATGTTTTGGTGGAAAGTAGATATTTCCATCCTTTTCCGGTACACATAAAGGATGGTTCCAGTCATCATGGCCAAAGAAAGAACCAGTTTAAATAGGGATGTTAAAATGTGTGTTTGTCAGATATTCATTCCAGGTAGCCCAGTCTGACTTTGTCAGATATTCGTTCCAGGAAGCCCGGTCCAGGACTGAAGCCCTTCTCCAAACCAGTGTTTGGGAAACGGAACAGAAAAGTACTGTTGGTGCTCTGACTGGAGCCAGATTCTGCCCTCAGGGGGCTTTGGTTGGATCCTGTGTTTCCTAGGTTCACTCCAACTTTTTACACTGGGAGCTTTAAAAGGGCAAGTGACCCTTCCCAGGAAATACCAGATAGGCTGGCCGGGTTGGGAGTAGGAGGCTCTGCATGGCGGCGGTTCCACTCCTACCTGGCCAGTTGTTTCCAGAAGGTGGTGCTGGGGGACCATGGCTCTGCGCCATGGCAGCTATGCCATGGAGTACCACAGGGCTCCATTTTGTCCCCCGTGCTATTCAACATCTACATGAAAGCGCTGGGAGAGGTCATCCAGAGGTTTGGGCTGCGGAGTCACCAATATGCTAATGACACCCAGCTCTACCTCTCGTTTACATCTGCTCCAGGTGAGGCGGTGGCTGCCCTGAACCGGGGCCTGGCCGAGGTGGTGGGCTGGATGAGGGCCAATAAACTGAGCCTCAATCCAAGTAAGATGGAGGTCCTGTTGGTGGGCGGATCATGGTTTCAGGTAAGTGATTTTGGCCCTGTCCTAGATGGGGTAGCACTTCCTCCAAAGGACAGGATCCGCAGCTTGGGAGTAACCTCGACCTGGAGCTGTCACTGGAAACACAGGAGGCAGCGGTGAGGAGCGAGGAGTGGTGGCGAGGAGCGCTTTCCTCCAGCTTCGGCTGGTCCATCAGCTGCATCCTTACCTGGACAAACACTGCCTAGCAATGGTGATTCATGCTCTGGTAACCTCCCATTTGGATTACTGTAACGTGCTCTTCGTGGGGCTGCCCTGGAAAATGGTGCGGATACTTCAGCTGGTACGGAATATTGCTGCCAGGATGCTGACGGGGACCAGCTGTTACACTCATGTAACGCCAGTCCCCTACCAGCTCCACTGGCTTCCAGTTGAAGTCCGGGCCCAATCCAAGGTGCTGGTTTTGACCTATAAAGCCCTGAACGGCTTGGGACCAGGATACCTGAAGGAACGTCTCCTTCCTAATATGCCCTCACACCCCTTAAGATCGGTGGGAGAGGCTCTGCTCTGGGAACCCTCCCTAAAGCAGGTAAAAAGCATATCTTCCCAGGGCAGGGCCTTCTCTGCGGTGGCGCCCCGGCTGTGGAATGCATTCACCGAAGAGGTGTGCCTGGCACCGAGTTTATATTCTTTTCGGTGCCAGGTCAAAACCATTTTACTTAATTGCTATTTTAGAAATTAGTATTTTAATCGTTCTGAACAGTCGCTTTGATTTTGACTTTAGGTAAGTTTTTATTGCATTATGTTGTTTATATATGTGGTTTTATTGTATTTTGATTTTAAGGATTGTGAGCTGTTCTGAGATGCATGCAAAAGTTTTAAATAAACAAATATTTAGCCGTGGTCAGTGAAGTGTCCATGAAAAGCAGATGCTGCGTGAATGGGTTATAGTACTCCCCCTAAAATTAAAGTAAGATTCTAGTTCTCCTGGTTCTGAGCAAAGGGCTGATGAAAACAATAGCACGTGTCCCTGCCGCACATTGAGCCCCATGTCACTCAGTCTTGTCTGCCCAGGCTGGCAGCCACTCCCATCTGAGCAGCAGCTTTCCATGCTTCACTGCATCCTGCCCCCACATCCAGCCCTCCAGAGGGGCTGGAAAGCAAGTTCCAGCACATGTTCCTTAGCTGCGTGCTAATAGTGGTTTTGGTGGACTAGCAGATTGTCATCTTTTTATTTTATTTATTTATTTATTTAAACATTTCTATGCCGCCCCATTCGCCGAAGCCTCGGGGCGGCTCTTCTTCCCCTTCCTATTATTCATTAACAAAGTTTTTATTTATTAACAAATATTACTTACCTATCTTTATTATTATTATTATTTATTAGGCATCATCCACTTTACCCAAGTCATCCGGGGAGATGGAGAACTTTTTTTCCCATCTGAACATGCTTTGCCTTGTGTCCTAAAAGGGGCTCTTCTAATTCTGCTGTGTTTTAAGTTTTAAACTTCCCAAATGGAACTATTGTTTTTCAGTTGTAAGGCCACCATGGATGTTCTTTGGGGACTGAAAGACAAGTCAAATAGAAATATATTTTGAGAAGGGTGTAAAACTGGGAGCTGGAATCGTGTCTGAATTCAGTCTCCTCTTGTTTGTGATTGAATTTGGGTATGTGGGGGTGGAGTCCGTAGGAAAATGAGAGGAATGGCCTTTGCAAGTATGTACAGCTGTGGAACTCCCTCTTGCAAGAAGTACCAACTGGTGCTAAGATGGACAGCTTTAAAAAACGACTGGGCCAGTTCATGCCAGTGGCTATTGGTCACGCTGGGCAAATGTCAGACTGAATATCAGATGCTGGGTGACCATCACTGGGGAACATGATATGTGGATGTTGACCTCATCTACTTGCTTGACCATGGTGGGAAGGAGAAGCCTTTGGCTTGCACAGTTCTGGTGTGCTTATGTTCATTTATGTCCAGGCTGTGAAGGGGTTAATGCCCAAGGTCACTTAATCGGGCTCCATCAGGAGGCAGCTCTTTGTTGCTAAAAGGGCTAGTCTGAGGAAGCTGCCAAAAATAAATTCCTTTTAATGAAGAGCCTTTGTAAATAATTCAGATTTTTTTTCACATCCTGCTAGTCCATTGGGGAAAAAAAAAGTTTCCTTCGCCGGGTTGAATGTGCAAATGGTGAAAGTTGCCACTCTGCCACACACAAATGCACAATAAAGTCTACGGATTATGTCATCTTTTGGCCCTGTTACAACTTCTCCCCAATCAGCACAAGGGCTCTGCTAGAGTCCATCTCTTACAACTCCTATCAGTCTGGGAGGTTTGGGGCAGGGAAACTGGAAGGAGTCTGAATTTCTAAGAATCCGACCATGGGTTCTTGGATTCGCTGTTCCCAAGCAGATTGACTTTCTCCAATTTGCATGTGTTCCACAGTCTTGCAGAATGGTTTCCGAAATGTGCCATAATTATGTATGTGCTTAGTTGTAAAAATAATAAATAGATGCATAAATAATAAACATGCTGACCGAACATGCATCTGAACACTTTCGTGCAAATCTGATTCTGCTGATGAGTCGACGACAGAATGGGGACAAAACGAGCATTACAGTGTCCATGTGTCCCTACATTTGGATAGCTGCTAAGTTGTTGTTAGTCATGAAGTCGTGTCCGACCCACTGCGACCCCATGGACAACATGCCTCCAGGCCCTCCTGTCCTCCACCATCTCCCGGAGTCCACCCAAGCTCACACCAACTGCTTCAGTGACTCCATCCCGCCACCTCATCCTCTGCCGTCCCCTTCCTCTTTTTCCTTCCATCGTTCCCAGCATTAGACTCTTCTCCAGCGAGTCCTTCCTTCTCATTAGGTGGCCAAAGTATCTGAGTTTCATCTTCAGTATCTGGCCTTTTAAAGGGCAGCCAGGGTTGATCTCCTCTAGGACTGACCGGTTTGATCGCCTTGCGGTCCAAGGGACTCGCAGAAGTCTCCTCCAGCACCACAATCCAAAGGCCTCAATTCTTCAGCGCTCAGCCTTCCTTATGGTCCAGCTTTCACAGCCATGCATTGCAACTGGGAAGACCATCGCCTTGACTATACGCACTTTTGTCAGCAGGGTGATGTCTCTGCTTTTTCGTATGCTGTCTAGATTTGCCATAACTTTCCTCCCCAGGAGCAAGCGTCTTTTAATTTCTTGGCTACAGTCCCCATTTGCTGTGATCTTGGAACCCAGGAAAATAAAATCTGTCACTACCTCCATTTCTTCCCCGTCTATTTGCC